TGTTAGTTTTCCTTTTAAAAGTCAGGACCCTCAACTGTAAGTCTGTTGGAGTTTGCTGGAGGTCCACTACATACCCTGTTTGCCTGGTTATCAGCAGCTGAGGCTTCAGAAGAGTGAATATTGCTGAACAGCAAATGTTGCTGCCTGATCGTTCCTCCGGAAGCTTTGTCTCAGAGGGGCACCTGGTTGTATGAGGTGTCAGTTGGCCCCTAATGGGAGGTCTCTCCCAGTTAGGCTACTCGGGGGTCAGGGACCCACTTGAGGAGGCAGTCTGTCCATTCTTGGATCTCAAACTCCAAACTGGGAGAACCACTACTCTCTTCAAAGCTCAACTGGAAAAGCAGAAATCCCCAATCTTCTGTGTTACTCATGCTGGGAGCTGTAGCCTGGAACTGTTCATATTCGTCCATCTTTGAACTGCCCCTCTTTTGTGTAATTAAAAACAAATCTTTAAAGAGTACACATTGTTTCAGTTAATTGTGTAAAAAAGACTGCTTAACATGGCTATATTCCCAGAACCATCAATTCTTTAGCGATGGACTAAATGGTTTGTATAGCTGTTGACAAGAATGTGTTGAACTTGACGGAGCTTATGTTAAGCCATAAAGTATATTTTTAAATTTTTCTCATTTTAGTTCAACTTTTCATGAATATTTTGAAGTGTCTTTATATATGCATGAGTTTAGGAAATTTTAATTCTGTCTGTGTACCTTTTTTGCATCAAGACTAAACTGTTCTCTGGTTATTATAGATTTGTAGTGTAATTTGAAACCAGAGAGCATGATAGTGTGCTGTCTCTAGCTTTTTTCTCTTCTAAGACTGCTTTAGCTACTCGGTGTCTCTTGTTCTATATTAATTTTAGATTTTTTTTCCATTTCTGTGAAAGATGTATTTAGAATAGGCTGGGTGCAGTGGCTCAAGCCTGTAATCCCAGCACTTTGGGAGGCCAAGATGGGCAGATCACAAGGTCAGGAGATCGAGACCATCCTGGCTAACATGGTGAAACCTCGTCTCTACTAAAAAATACAAAAAACTAGCTGGGCGAGGTGGCAGGCACCTGTAGTGCCAGCTACTTGGGAGGCTGAAGCAGGAGAATGGTATAAACCCAGGAGGCGGAGCTTGCAGTGAGCTGAGATCCAGTCACTGCACTCCAGCATCGGTGACAGAGTGAGACTATGTCTCAAAAAAAAAAAAAAAAAAAAAAATTGCATGGAATCTAGAGTTTTAGGTATTGAAGACAATTTTATAATATTGATTCTTTTGACTCTTGCAGACAGGACATATTTTCATTTATCTGCGTTTTCTTCAATTTCTTTCATCAGTATTTTATAGTTTTCAGAGTACAGAACTCTCATCTCCTTGCTTTGATTTAGTCTTAAGTATTTTATTATTTTTGATGCTATTGTAAATTGGAATTTTTTTTCAATTTCTTATTTCAATAGTTTGCTGTTAGTGTATAGAAATGTAATTGGTTCTGTCTGAAGATTTTGTACCCTGCAGTGTTACTGAATTGGTTATTAGTTTTAGCAAGGTTTGGTGAAGTCCTTGGGTTTTCTATGTGTATATAATGAGATCATGTCATCTGCAAACAGAGACAACTGTCTTCTTATCCAATTTTCATGCCTAATAGCTCTATCCAGGATTTCCAGCACTATGTTGAACAGAAGAGGTGACAGTGAACCTCCTTGTTTTTTTCTGATCATAAAGAAAAATGTTTCAACTTTTCACTCTTGCGTATCATGTTAAATGTGAGCTTCTGATATATAGCCTTTTTTGTCTTGGGGTAATTTCTGCCTAATTTGTTGAGACTTTTTATCATGAAAGGATGTTGATTTTTGTTAAATGCTTTTCTGTATGTATTGAGATGAGTATACAATTTTTGTTTTTCATTCTTTTAATTTGGTGTGGAGCAGTAATCGATTGGTGTGTGTATACTATCTTTACATCCCAGATATATATCCCCTTTTCATTATGGTGAATGATTCTTTTAATGTGTTGTGCTCACTTTGCAAGTATTTTGTTGAGCATTTTTGCCTCTATGTTCATGAAGAATATTGACCTATAATTATTTTGTAGTGTTCATCTGTGACTTTGGTGTCAGCGTGATTTTGACCTCATATAATAAAACTGAGAGTTCACGCTTAATTTTTTGACAGAATTTGAGAAGCATTAGTGTTGATTCTTTAAATGTTTGCTAGGATTCCATCCGTCATGAAGCCACCAGTTTTTTGAGGTTTTTTTTTTTTGATGAGAGACTTTTTATTACTTGTTCATTTTTCTTACTCATTACTGTTCTGTATTAATTTTGTATTTCTTTATGTTTCAGTCTTGGTAGGTTGTATGTGTCTATGAATGTATCTGTTTCCACCAGGTTATTCAACAGATATATGTGGCGTACAATTGTTCCTAGTGGTCTCTTCCAGTTTTTTTTTTAATTTCTGTTCTATCAGTTGCAATGTTTCCTCTTTCATTTCTAGTTTTATTTATTTGTTCCTTCTCTCTTTTTTATTTCGGCTAAAGTTTTGTCAATCTTGTTTATGTTCTCGAAAGCTAACTTCTAGTTTTGTGGATCTTCACGATTATTTTTCCAGTCTGTTTTATTTATTTCTGTACCTTGCTTTTTTTTTTCTTTCCACTAGCTTTGGGTTAAATTTTTTCTTCATTTTCTAGTTTCCAGACATACAAAGTTACTTGCTTTATTAGAATCTTCATGGAGTCATTCATGTCTCTAAACATCCCTTTAAAACTGCTTTTGCTGCATACCATATGTTTTTTACTATGTTGCTTTTCCATTTTTGTTTGTCTCAAGATATTTTTAAATTTCCCTTTGAATTTCTTCATTGCCTCATTGGTTGTTCAGGATGATGTTGTTTAATTTCCATGTATTTGTGAATTTCCTAACATTTCTCCAATGGATTTCTAGTTTCATATCACGATGCCTGAAAAAAAATACTTTATGTAATTTCAATCTTTTTAAAAATTTTAAGACTTGTTTTGCGGCCCAACATATGATCTATATTGGAGAATGTACTTTGTGTGCTTGAGAAGAATGTTTATTCTACTCTTGTTAAATGGAATATTCTATATAGGTCTTTTAGGTCCATTTGGTCTACCTTATAGTTCACGTCCAATGTTTTTATTGATTTCTGTATAGATTATCTACCCATTGTTGAATGTGGGGCATTGAAGTCCCATACTATGATTGTTTTGTTGTCTATTTCTTCCTTTAGATATATTGTTTGCTTTATACGTTTCATTGCTCCCATGTTGAGTGCATATATATATATATATATTCAATAGTTATGATTTCTTGGTGAATTGACTCCTATTTTATTATGTAATGACTTTCCTTAATTCTTTCTACAGATTTGACTCAAAATTCTATTTTAGTTAATGTCATATATCCACCCTTCTTTCTTTTGGTTTCCATTTACATGGAATATATTTGTTTATCCATATGCTGTGCTATGGTCTGCATAGTAGTGTCCCTTCAAAATTTGTATGTTACATCCTCATCACTATGGTGATTATATCAGAAGGTGAGGCCTTTTTAGGTGATTAGGTCATGAGGATTCCACCCTTGTAGACTGAATTAGTCTTTTTACAAACAAGCCTCATGGAACTCCCTTGCCCCTTCCACATCGTAAGGATGTAGTGGGAAGTCACCATGGTGGGAAGGCACCATAGTAGGAAGGCACCAAAGCAGGGAACAAGCCCTTACAAGACATCAAATTAGTTGGCATCTTAATCTTGAAAATCTCAACCTCTAAAACTCTATGAAATAAATTTCTATTTTTTATAAACTAGCCAGTTTATGGTAATTTCTTATAGTGGACCAAATGTACTAAAACAATTTAGGAATAAATGTATATTCCTAGGTGTTGACATTACTACAAACACTACTTGCTATTTATAACAAAAGTCCTTTAAATTTGTGAAAGCTGGCTTTCCTCAACTCGAACAATTTATCTAAATCAGGATCCCTAACAAGGGGAAAGCCTGAGTATACAAGTCACCTGATTTTATGCAATTTGAAGTCATAAGGTATCATTAAATAATATTTTTGGTGTACTATTTATATCTTTATTTGCACATAATGGCTTCACCTCCTTTAGGAGTTTAAAATGTTCCTAGTCAAAAATGATTTTAACTAACTAGTGCTGGTTAAAATGAATGAATTTTAAAATTACACTTCAGAACCTTATTATTGAAATTTCCAAAACTCTTCTCCAAAAATAGTTAAGAAGTTATTTGATGTTAAGATCATTACTGATGACATGTTTATCATTTTCAACATGTACCACCTTGCTTGTTATAAATCATTATTTAAAATAAATTTTGCTTTTGGTTCAATGTAATATATGTTAAAGGTAGAAAAATCAGAGAATACTGATATATACAAAGGAATTAAATCACAAATTTTACCCTTACTATCTCTAAACACATATATAGAATTGTATCCACAGTTTTGAATTTCTTGGCAACATTCTTTTCTATAAACATTAATTCAAGGCAAAACTATCATGTTTCTGTGTTTGCAGGTGAGTGTGTGCATGTGAGTGTGTTATAACTGATACTGTATTTGTATTTTTTGTATATCTATGTTATAGTATTTATATACCCAATTACATTTTCATTCCTCTTTGTGATTAGTTTGCATTATTATGTGTGCTTGATTGACATCTTGTAGAAGTATCTGCATTTCATCAGTTTTGGTGCATTTATGTGTTGATATCACTTTGGTGCATTTATGTATTCATAAATAGTAATTACTTTTATTACTAACATGAGTTAAGACTTGACTTGGTTTTTACATCTTTGTGAAGTGATATAATTTTGAAGTCAGAGACAATAATATGTTTTCCATTTACTGTAAAACAATGAGCCTCAGAAGTTATGGAGAAAGCTTTGAGAGATTTAACAGTGATGGACAGAAATCCAGTCTGAAAAAATTGCATCAAATTTCATGCCATAAAAATTTTATGAACTGGACACAACAGTTTGTTTCCCAAGTTTTAATGTGGTGCTTTTAAGAAGAGAGCCACCAGTCTCAGATTATAATTACATTTTCACAAATCAACCCCAAAATTTTACTTATGAATAAAAAGAAGTAAAACATTACTTAAAAAATGAAATTGAGAACTGATTTAATACTAAAGTTCTGAATAAAGGTGTGCATTTTATGATCGATGATGTCTTTTTACACAAGTTGGATACTCCAGTTTCCCATCCTGACATGTTGTTCGCAATGCATGAGAGTTTGGTGAAAGACGATATCCAGATCTACACACAAATTCAACTGGTTCACCAGTTCTCGAATAAAGTTTCTCTTCGGCTTTCCATTTCAATGTTATGTTATATTTTTCCAGAATTGCTGGGGATATTAGACACGCATCTGAAAATAGAAAACAGTAAACATAAAAACATTAACTATTATGCAAATCTTCATAGACTTTCAGGTTTTCAAGTAGAATGTTATATGATGGTTCAGGAATTATTTCTCAAAACACTATCCAAACTGACTATGTAAAAACATCATATTGATTTACATAAAGTTAAAATGGTAAACGATGTAAAAACGAGGTACTATGTTTAATGTATGAGAATTAGAGGTGTATTATCAATGATTCATTACATCAATTGTCATTTTAGGATCCCTGCATTTTAGAACCTATCATTGCTGTTTTTTGTTGATTAAGACATTGGTCAAAGAGTACAAACTTTCAGCTATAATATGAACAAGAACTGGGAATCAAACGTAGAGATCTAGTGATATTTATAGCTAATAATATTGTACTATTTATTTGAAAATTGGTAAGGAAACAGATTTTAAGTGTCCTAACCACAAACACACACACACATACTCACACACCCACTTACACACAATGGTAAGCATAGGTGATGAAGAATGAACTAATTAATTTGATTGTGGTAATCACTGTATTCCAAATATATCAAAACAGTATATTGTCAAACTTGAAAATATTTTTGTTTGTCAACTAAATGTTTTAACATAAAATGTAAATATAAAGAGAAAGATTTCCTTTCTTTCTTTTTTTTTCTTTTTGAGATGGAGTCTTGCTCTGTTGCCCAGGGTGTAGTTCTGTGGTCCCAATCTCGGCTCACTGCAAGCTCTGCCGTCTGAGTTCAGGCCATTCTCCTGTGTCAGCCTCCCGCCTAGCTGGGACTACAGGCGCCCACCACCCTGCAGGGCTATTTTTTTTGTATTTTTAGTAGAGATCGGGTTTCAGTGTGTTACCCAGTATGGTCTGGATCTCTTGACCTCGTGATCCACCCTCCTCGGCCTCCCACACTGCACGATTACAGGCCTGAGCTACCGTCCCTGCCATAAAGAAAAATTTCTAAAGTTTGCTTTCTAACATAAATATTTGGTAGGCAAGCATTCAGCAGAATGGTTATACAATAATCTGTGATTATTTTGTTACAAACAGCGAAATATCAGACTCATCACACTGATTTTTCCAGGGTCCATGCGAATATTAAAGTACTTACGTAAGCATTTTGGTGGTTCTGACCATTGTCCATTTCTACATGTTACTCGCTTGTTACCCTCAAGTTGATACAAGTTCTGGCATTGATACTCAACTGATGAATCTGGAGCATATAGTGACAACGGGAATGAAGTAATGTCTCCGTTGTCAATAGGTGGAGGGGGCCCACACTTTCTTGCAGAATCTAAAAAACATCATTTCATCACTTGATTTATTGTGAGAGCAAATCAAAATATAAGTTCAAATAAGGCAAATACAAACACAGCACTTCATATCATATCAACAATTTTGTGATTTCTGGTGAAAGAAATGATTCCTGGAAGAAATTTTACTTCTACAAACTGAAAGTAATATATTTAAGTTATTTTTGCCTTACTGAAGAAACACATAAAACATTAAGAAATATTGCCACTTATAGTAGACCAGAATTAAGAAATGTCTTTTCGAATGAATACATGCTAAACATAGAAAACTATGACAAAGGAAGTTTCTTATTTTGTATTCAACTTTCTTTGGAGTGACACTAAGAGGATACAGGTTTTGAAATTGATGATGGTTTTTAAAAACCCAATAGGAGTTATAAAATTGAAAAATTTGAAAAAAATTTTTTAAAAACATTTGATAGGCTTAATAATACATTGTGAGCTAACAGACAATGTAATCCATAAACTTGAACATAGAGCAATATAAATTACCCACTCTGAAAAAGATTGAAAACAAAAAACTGAACTGAGACATTTAGAAAAATACAACAACAACAAATAATGCAGATCCATAAAAAGAAGAGAAAGGGTATTAGGTTCGAAAAATGAATAAATAAAATAATGGCTGAAAACTTCCCATTTTGTACATAAGGTATAAACTTACATATTTAAGAAGCTGAGTGAACTCCAAAGAGGATAAACACTTTGGAATTTATACCAAATATACGTTAAAATAAAACTACTTTTAAAAAGAACAAAATATTTTGAAGGCAACTAGACAAAAACTATGCCTTTCCTCTAGGGGATCAACAATGTCAGTGACGTTGAGTTTTTCATCTATAACCATGTGGCACAGTTATCAAGTGTTTAAAGAACTGTCATACTAAATTTTATATCCAGTGACATTATCCTTTACAAGTAAAGGGGTAAATATAGACGTTCTCAGAAAAAGGGAAACCAAGAGAATTCGTCTCCAGTAGACCTATGCTTAAAGATTAACTAAAGGAATTCTTCAAATTAAAATAAAAAGATAAAAGAAAGAGCTTGAGACTTTAGGAGACTGAAAGAATAGAACACTATAATAGATAAAAAGAGGAGTCAGGCCGGGCGCGGTGGCTCAAGCTTGTAATCTCAGCACTTTGAGAGGCCGAGACGGGCGGATCATGAGGTCAGGAGATCGAGACCATCCTGGCTAACACGGTGAAACCCCGTCTCTACTAAAAAATACAAACAAAAACTAGCCGGGCAAGGTGGCAGGCGCCTGTAGTCCCAGCTACTAACTAAAGGAATTCTTCTTCAAATTAAAATAAAAAGATAAAAGCAGAGCTTGAGACTTTAGAGACTGAAAGAATAGAACACTATAATAGATAAAAAGAGTGAGCTCAGGCCGGGCGCGGTGGCTCAAGCTGTAATCTCAGCACTTTGGGAGGCCGAGACGGGCGGATCGGGCAGAGGCTGTGAGATCGAGACCATCCTGGCTAACACGGTGAAACCCCGTCTCTACTAAAAATACAAACAAAAAAATCTAGCCGGGCGAGGTGGCAGGCGCCTGTAGTCCCAGCTACTCCGGAGGCTGAGGCAGGGAATGGCGTAAACCCGGGAGGCAGAGCTTGCAGTGAGCTGAGATCCGGCCACTGCACTATTTTGTGGGGAAAAAAGAAAAATCCTTTTTCCCAAAAAAAAAAAAAAAAAAAAGAGGAGTCAATATAACAGGCTTTTTCCCCGTATGATTTTTCAATTATGTTTGATGTTTGAAGCAAATGAGTTTAATATGGTGCTCCATATATGTATGGAAAATACTAGTGGCATTTGTACTTAAAACGTGGAGAGTAAAATTGGATCTACATGAAAGTAAGGTTTCCATATTCCAGTTGAAGATTTAAATGTCAGTACCAGTAGACAGTAATATATTATTATATGTATATAGTATTAGCTAAAGCAACAACTTTTTTTAAAAAAGGTAAAAAGTTATGCAAGGGATACAATCAAAAACAATACATATGAATCAAAATTAATCTTTTTTAAAGATTTCCCCACAGGGAATGGAGGAATAGGGTAATAGGGCTGAAAACCAGAGGAAGCAAACAGAAACTAATAAATGACAGAGGTTTAAGTCCTATATATCGATAATTATTTTAAGTGTGAATAGTCCAAGTGCACCAGTTAACAGGCCAAGAAAGGCAGAATGGATATGTAAATAAGACCGAAGTCAAGGGAAATTGGTATTCTGTGATTTATTTGGCAAATGTTTTCTTTACATGATTATTTTAAAGGAAATCACAGCCAGTTTGCACAAACGCAGGACAGACTCCAATATATATCTGCTGTATTCATTTAAGTATATTTAAATTTTTCTGCTTATTTTCACAACATGGTTTGAGGAATTTACATTTTATTAAATTGAGAAGTATTGTGATTCACTGATAATTGACTGTACATTGATAATATAACGTTGATATCTCCATCTGAAGATGAAGCTAAGTCTTGTTAATTATATGACCACTACAAAGTAGATAAATAACTTGACTAAAGTACAGAGTCTAGCATGAAGAGCAAAATAGTAACATTATTGGGAATAACTTGAGCCAGACAAACTTGAGACAGAAGAAAGGAAGGAAGGAAGGAGGGAAGGAAGGAAGGAGTGAGGAAGGGAGAGAAAGAAGGAAGGAAGGAAGAAAGAGAGAAAGACAAAAGAAAGAAAGAAAGAAAGAAAGAAAGAAAGAAAGAAAGAAAGAAAGAACAGAAACTAATAAATGACAGAGGCTTAAGTCCTATATATCGATAATTATTTTAAGTGTAGAAGAGTCCAAGTGCACCAGTTAACAGGCCAAGAAAGGCAGAATGGATATGTAAAATAAGACCTAAGTCAAGGGAAATTGGTATTCGTGATTTATTTGGCAAATGTTTTTAGCGCGATTATTTTAAAGGAAATCACAGCCAGTTTGGTACAAACGGGTAGGACAGACTACCTAATATATAATCTTGTTGCATTCATTTAAGTATATTTAAATTCTTCTGCTTATTTTCGTACAATACGGTTTGAGGAATTGGTAATTTTTATTAAATTGAGTAAAGTAAGCTGTGATTCACTGATACTGATCACGTACATCGATAATATAACGTTGATATTCCATCTGAAGATGAAGCTAAGTCTGTTAATTATATACTGCTCACAAAGAGATAAATAACTTGACTAAAGTACAGAGTCTAGCATGAAGAGCAAAATAGTAACATTATTGGGAATAACTTGACAAAGACAAACTTATGGAGACAAAGAAGAAAGTTGAAATGAATGCAAATGATGGTACGTAGTCAAATGATGGTTAAAATGTATATGTTGTACGAAATGGAAATGAACGTTGACGATGCTTCATCGTTGCCGCCGCCGCTGCCGCCGCCGCCGCCGCCGCCGCCGCCGCGGAGGCGTTGGCGCGCCGCCGCCGTTACTTGCCACGCTTTTCGTTGCCGCAGCCGCCGTTTAAACGTACGGCTTGGTTCGCTACGTTGCCGCTTACGTACGTTACAAAATGCCGGGCATATGCCGTTCGCCAGCAGAAAGAAAGAAAGAAAGAAAGAAAGAAAGAAAGAAAGAAAGAAAGAGAGAGAGAAAGAGAGAAAGAAAGAAAGAAAAGAAGGAAAGAGAAAAAAGAAAAAGAAAGGTAAAGAAAGAAAGGAATAAAGGAAAAAGAGTCACAGAGAAAAAGAAAGAAAGAGAAGGAAGAGAAGGAAACAGAGAAAAAAAGAAGAAAGAGAAAAATAAAGAAAGAAAAAAGGAAAAATAAAGGAAGAGAAGAAAAGAGAAAAAAGAGAAAGAGAAAGGGAGAAAAAAAGAAAAAAGAGAAGAGAAAAGTAGAATAAAGGAAAAAGGAAAGGAAAGGGAAGTAAAAGGGAGAAGGACAGGGAAAGGGGAAGGAAAGGAAAAGAAAGGAAAGGAAAGGAAAGAAAGGAGAAGAGAGGAGAGGAAAGGAAAAGAGAAAGGAAAGGGGAAAGGAAAGGAGAAAGGAAAAGGGAAAGGAAAAGAGAAAAAATGTAGTTGACTCTTTCAACAGCTGAAAGAAGAAAGAAAGGAAGCAAGGAAACAAGAAAGGAAGGAAAGAAGGAAGGAAGGATGGAACGAAGGAAGGAAAGAAAGGAAGGAAGGAAGGAAAAAAGTAAGAAAAATAAAAAGGAAATAAGTAGTTGACTCTACAATTAGCTCCAAAACCAAAGCAAGGGGCATAAACCTTGATTGAGTTGGTTGATATCAGCAGAAATTGCACATCTAATCAAAGCTTATTATCAGCCTCAATCTTTAAAAATAGTCTAAAAGTAATGGGATCATCTGACACAGAATGATGAGATACGTAAAAGAGACTAATGAAGAAAAAAGACTGGGGTGAAAGGTCATCATTAGAGTGAAAAGCCATATCCATACTTATTGTAAACCTATATTAATTAAAATTCAGGAGATGGAGGTTGCAGTGAGCCAAGATCCCACCAATGCACTCCAGCCTGGGTGACAGAGTGAAATTCTGTCTTAAAATAAAATAAATAAATAAAATTCAATAGAGGGTTACTGGAATGCTGATTAAAAAATTGTTTACTAATACTGTAGAACAGAGTATTCAGAATAATAGTCATTGTGTGTGTGTATGCCTGTGTGTGTATACACACACAATGTACAAAATATACAACATAACATATACTATATGAGAAAGGTACCATAAAAACTGTTAGGGAAATGTTGAGTTTATCGTATTTTATTTAAAAATGAAATATAGCTGTTATCAAGAAAATAAAAAATATTTTTTAAGTATGAAAAGATAACATATGACATTTTAGAATAAAGAATGGTATAATGGCTCTGTGCTTTTGAAAATGTATTCCTTTAAAAAGAACCAAAAAAGGTAATATATTTGTGAGAAGGAATTTGAAGCCATTTAAAACATTTTACATACTCTTTGTTACATCTGTAATTCCCTGAAAAAAAAGAAAAAAGAAA